GTGAAGATATTGAGGCTCAAAGTTGAAACTTTACCTCAAATTTTGCAAAAGCTTCCAGGCGGATTATCTTGAAAACGAAGCCCTTGGGCTTGGAGTCTTATATAACCTTTTTTATAGCCCTTATTAAGAGCTACAATTGGGCAAAAGATTCATGCTAATAACTTCACTGGTTTCCAAAATATGGCTCTTTGAAATATTAGGAAATCAAATTTCCATGCATACCCCTTTGGAAAAGTTCGAATTTTTAAATTTTCAGTTTTTCGAATTTTTGACTTCACCAATCGGAAGAAGAGTTTAAAATTAGCAGAAAAGCATTTTCGCAACTTTCCTTTTTGGGTTTTAAAGCCTTGTTAAAAAATAAAAACGATTTTTGCAATTTTTGGGCTTAAAAAAATTTCAATAATCCGACATTCTTTCTCAAAATTGCTGATTACTCGGTTATTATTATCACAAATATAATGTAAAATTATATATTCTGAATCAGAATTAAATTATCTTCAAGATAAAGTAAGATTCAATTCATTATTCTTAAATACTTGTGAAGATATTGAGGCTCAAAGTTGAAACTTTACCTCAAATTTTGCAAAAGCTTCCAGGCGGATTATCTTGAAAACGAAGCCCTTGAGCTCGAAGTCTTGAATAACCTTTTTTGAAGCTCTTATTGAGAGCTACAATTGCCCAGCTAGAACCCGAAAAATAAAAATAGAGATAAAAAGTCAAAAATGTTAACAGAAACTTTTTCTGATAATTTTTCTTGGAATCTGATAATTTTGTTCTCAAATCCTGATAATTTTAAATTTGACATCTGACAACACTGATCCTACCGACTGCGGCAATGGAAGATTTCGATCTACTTTTTGAAAACTTTTATTACTTTATTATAGCATTCTTTTTCTTCCTCTTTATCCATATTTCCAATAATAAGTAATGAGTTTGCAGTTTCCGTATAAAACTTTTTCCCGTTTATTTTCACCCCTTTTTATCACTCCTATGCTGTAATAACCGCTGAGAGCTGACCATGTGACGTCATGAAAATTGAGCTCCGGCCAAATTTCGATTAACCACGCGATCAGGTCAAAAGGTTTATAGATTGTAACTTAATCCTGATATAGGCATTTCCGTATACGATGTTTGTCATTTATCAAACAACTTATATCGATAAATCAATACAAAATTAATGTCAGAAAAAAGATAAGGAAGTTAATCATCTAAAATTATAACTGGACAAGTTGGTTCAAAGGCAAGGAAACAGCTGAACACCCTTAATTAGGTAAGAAATTGAGAAATGATAAGTGAAAAGAAAACAAAATAATTACAAAGCAACAATGATGAAAAAAATTAAAAGACGGAATGTTAAAATTTACTTTGTCATCGTTTCTCTCGAGAGTGAAGCAAGGTAAACAGTCGGGTGAAATTTTAAAATTGGCAACCAAAAACATTTATTTTGTGGGCGAATTTCGGACTAACTCATTCGGCGTGAAGTGCTTGAGGCTCGAGGGATTTTGAAACTCAAAGCCGCACTCGCTTTGAGGCCTTCTATTTAATTTGCCAAAAAAATAAATAAATAAAACCGAAATGGAGTTTTTAGAGTTTTTGAAAAAGTTTTATTGCATCTATAATTCAATTACTTACTATCTTTCAAAGTTTACTTAGTGAATGAGTTTTACCAGAATTTTGGAACACCTACACTGGACTTTAAAATTTGAAATTGAAGTTGCTGATGATTCAATAATACTAATTTGGTGGGAAGATGTTTATCAACTATATTCTGTTTTTTAATCAGGGTAAACATAAAAGGTGTTTTTTCTCGACCCCAACAGTTCGAAATGTTTTTGAAATCTGTTTTGAACCTATTTAAAAATGACATCATTACTTTCATTCGAGAAAAAATGAGGTTTTCAAACCAGAATTTAACCATACATACCTAACCTAGGATTTTTGTTTGTTTTTTTTTCTGGTAATTAGCCATAGCCCTAATATATTTCTCAAAAAATTTAAGAGTGTTCTGTTCATCATTCTATGACCTGCTACAAAAGACACAACACAAATATAAACATAAACAACAAACTGTCAACTTTCTTAAACTATTGCGCATGCGTTTGTTTTTGAACCGAGGCGAAATCTCGTTTCAAAATATTTTCAAACAGTTTTGTTATTACGTCATTGGTTCAACGCGAAAATGTAATGTTTTGAATTAGGTTCAACCTGGTTCAACCAATTTAAGCGAGAAAAAACACCTAAAATGTGTCAGTCAGAACACTTATTGTAAGTTCATTGGTGTGCCTATACAGGGTATACCATTTAAAACGAAACAGGCTAAATATTTTATGCTACGTTTATTTTTTGAAAAATCACACGTAATTTGATTTTCAAAGGGGGAAGTTTTCTGCAACCATTTTTAGCACTTCAACTTTAACCCTCTAGGCGGAGTGGGACCAACCCTTACTATTTCAAATGGAACAGGGGGTCGAGTGATACCTCTTTCAAAAGAACAATAAATTCTCTTCCATTTGATGTCATTTGAGAGAAAATAGAACAGTCTTTTAAAACAGGTATAACTCGACCCCCTCTTCCATTTGGATGGGTAAGGGTTGGTCCTACCCCCCTAGAGGCTTAAGTTGGTGCTGAAAATGTTTAGAACACTCACATAATCAAATTACATGTACGAGCGATTTAAAAAAAAAAAAAGTGGCATCAGATATTTAGCCTGTTTCGTTTTAAATGGTATGCCCTGTATAAAGTAACTAAACATGTCAAACACGTATGCAAAATCAGATATGAACATGGAAAAGTAATAGAAATATGATGTATAACAAGAACAATAGACCTTTTCAAATTAGAATAATTTTGTTACGCATGCACAAAACATTGTTGCCAAGTGTCGATCTCCATCACGCTATACGGGAAAGAATCATGAATAATTTCGATTTCATTAGAACTAAGATTCAATTTCTTTATTATCAACATAATATTTGATTCAGCCGAGGACTCGAGCTATTTATTAAAAAGATATATATTGATGGTCATTTTGTAAAGTTTTTTTTTTTAAAAAAAACCTAACGCGCTTTATTCTGTACAAGCCGACAACATCGCACAATTTCACTGTCATTTCAATCAGCTGATTATTGTTTTGCGGTCCATGTTACACGTTTTTACATGGGGAAATATTGGAAAAACCTGTTTAAAAATTAGTAAAAGCGATGGGGCACACAAATATTGTGTTTTTGGAAAGTGCAATAGTAACAGTAGAGGTGGAAGACCCGGATATTCCGAGGGATTATTTTTTTACCGATTTCCCCAGCCATGTCTTCAGCTGAGAAAATCAGATTTGTTTAAAAAGGCAGATCTTAAAAAGCATATTTCACAATGTAAACAGAGTGTGAAACTTGCCACAAGTGGGTGAGAAGTTGCAGGAGAAGTGACAGAAAATTTGAAAAGCATCCTGTGCCTTTTACACCACGACAACGTAAATATCTTTTGAGTTCTAATACGCTATTTTTCTCCACAATCTCATTCCGTAAAATCGCACCCGGCACATCTGCTGCTGATAATTTAACTTTTTTAAAAGGAATTTGGACCATTTTAAATTGAAAAAGGTATTAATTACAACTTTTTTATATTACTTGCTATACTTTTTGCACCGCAAAGCAAACAGCCAACATAACCCCACTTATTTGACGCAAGCGCGTTGTGGACCTTGAAAAGGTCTATTCAAAAAGTAGATGCTGATAAGTGGCGGAAATGTATTAGACATGTTCTTGGTATAGAGAAAAGGATTTGGAAACTGGACTGGAATTGAAACAACCTCTGATTATTAATGTAAATGATGACAGTTCTTCGTCAGGAGAACTATTTAAAAAAAATAAGTACCTAGTTAAGGAAGAATTATATAACAATTATAGTTCGCCTTACGAGTCTCGCACTACGACGTCTGAAGGGCAACGGGAATAACGCCATTCATTTCGAGCTTTATACTGCCTGTCATAGACGTGCGCGCAGCGTTTTTAAATATTAATTTTTCCTTATAAATGTAGTTGTGTAACATAGATAAATATTAAGATATTTTCTATTGGAAGTCAAATAGGCAATATTGCATTTTTTTTATCCACATTCTTTCCATAGTGCTAGACTCGTAAGGCGAACTTTGTTATTCTTAATAGGATGTTTCAACTTTAATTTGTTTATGAGTCCCTGCCTAAGTTTTGTAGATATTATAAGTTTTGGCTTTTTTTTTTGTAAATGTATACTTTGAATTGAAAATACTTATAAACTGGTTTTTGAATATTTGTATTTTACCAAAATCTCTTATCTGCGCCTATGGGTAATAAAATTAAAAATAATACGCCTGGTGAAACCTGAAAACCCATTGTTTGGCGAAAGGATTTCAAACGTCGACGGCTGAAAGGGGTTTTAGGTGGGTTTTCTTCTGTGTGTGTGTACACGAATGAGGTTAATGAAAGTTTTTGGTCACTGTGAGGGCTTTAAGGGATTAAAATTAGATGGGGTTGATTTATCACTCCAGTCATCAAATAACTAACCATAGCATTTTATCACCGACACAAGAACTTCCCTTTCCCTCGTACTTACTTAACTTTCGTTCTACCTTTGTGAGCAATCGGGAGTTGATTGTTTTCCTAATTTTCTTATTTAATTTCATTAAAGCAGTAAGTTACCTTCAAGAAACATTTCTATTATTTGTGTGAATAATTATAATTTACTCCCACATGCGTCAAACATAATTACGGTTTTATAAGAAGTAAAAATTAATGTTCAGAATAATCTGGAGGAGGCATTTTATGAGCCTATTAATGCAATATGTAATACCTAGGTAATTTACTACGCCTGTGGATTTGACAATAATAATCGTTGAGATCATGGCTATGAAACTGAAGCGACTATAAAATTATCCACTTAAATAATTGATCGCAAATACTACAGGGGCTCGGAATTTTTTGCAATGAGAAATTTTTACAATAAACGCGTCCACAAATATCACTTACTTTTCTGGGGGGCACTCAGCGACGCAAACGCCATCATTATCGTAATTTTTGCACACTTCACAATGTGCGTTTGAATTGTTCTTTGTGCAGCCTAAACATTCCATATGGCAGTTATCAGTAAATACTTGACATTCGTCCTGGTTCCAGCAGAATCCTGAAATTTCAAAAAATAATCATATTGAAGATTACATTCCTTTGAATGATACAACATTTGCACATCCAAATTGAGTAAAAATTCAATAGGTACACCCCTATTGACAGAATATGAAATAGTGAGAAATTGTGAGAAAGACTAGAATCCGTTGCTTCCCTCAAAATAGATGGATGGAAATTTGGGAAATCACTTTCTTGATTCACAGATTGAATAGCCAGTATAAACAAACAAACAATTATTCAACTTACCATTACATTGTGCTGGACAAGGTGAACAAACCCTGTTATGTTTCTGGTACTGGACGAACATGTTTTCTCCAATCTTTTGCCAATCGATGGTATCCACGTAACACAAATTTGGAGCTTTGCCGGTTTTAACGTAGCCTCTTGCGATGTATGATAGTTTGGTAGTGCCAATCTGGAAAAAAGAAATACATAATTGAAGTAAGGTAAAACGAAATGATTGGCAACAAATTCATTTTAAAAATGGTGTATGGGCAAATTGATGTATACTTTTTTTTTCAATTTCTTTTAAATTTTTTTGTTAACCCATTTGAGCAGCAATTTGTTGATAGCATGATTATTATTATTATTATTATTATTATTATTATTATTATTTTTATTATTATTATAGTTTATTATTTATTTATTGACGAGCAAAGCCCATTTTAATTGATAAACGAATGCATAAAATAATATAATACTAATTTTAAAAAAATATAAAATATTTATTTATTTATTTATTGGTAGTATCAAAGATACAAATTACAAAAGCAATAAATTAAAATTAATAAACTCTGTTGTAAATTACAATATAGTTTTCCCTTACCCATAATTTATGGCCGTTTCCACTAACTAGTTTAGGGAAGCCCTAACGATAAGTATTCCTTAAACTGACATTTCTCCATGTAAAAATGTCATTTTAGGGAATACTTATCGTTAAGGCTCCCCTAAAATAGTTGGTGGAAACGGCCATTAGACCTACTTAAGCTACTTTAGTGCACGATAGTACTTATAGTACCGTGTGTGCACCCTTATACTTTAATGAGTATCACCCGAGGTTATGTAAATTTAAAAAAAAAATTATATAAAATTATATAAATCACAAATCATATGAAAAAACACCCCAATACAAAAACACAAAACTTACAAAAGACACTATTGATGGTATTACATAAAGCAAGAATACAATTTTTTATCGAGTTGAATTTTTTATTGATATTAATCTAAATTTGATATTCAATGTGAAAGTCACTTTGAAGTATCCATAGTTTTATTTAGTGATGAGCGAGACTGGTCTTGGTCTTGGTCTTGCAGAAAATGCAAGACCAAGACCATTGTTAAACTGCAAGACCAAGACCAAGACCAAGCAGTGCAAGACTTATGCAAGACCAAGACTTAACATTGCAAGACTTACGCAAGACCAAGACCGAGCATGCAAGAGTCTCGCGGTCTTGCGTTTTTGTTCCATTTTTTCCGGAATATTACTAAAATTTAGTATGTATTTGATATAGTTGTTTGTAAAGTCTGTTTTTTTTTTAAAGATAATTCCCCAAGTCAAAAATTTAGTAACTATGTTGGCAACACAAGCCTTTTCTACATAAAAAATTTGAAAGATTGACAATTTTACATTGTATTGCCAACATAATGTCATTTTGACTTTTATCTTTAAAAAAAAAAAAAAAAACAGATTTTAGTTGAATATAACATACTTATCTATCTATTGTCATAAGCTCTGTCACTGGTATTGGGGCCTACCCTATCCTACAACTTTGGAGAATATAAAGAATTCCCACAAACACAATTATCAAACATATCTAAATTTCCAGTGTAAATCGAATTGGTGTTTAAAAGTAAAAGATTTTTCTATCCATAAAATTTTTCATTTGCTGAGAAATGCATGAAACTGATGTACACTTTCTTCATTGAGTAATCATAATTTTGGTTTATTTCTAATCCCAGCTAAGGTAAGGTAAATATACTATTAAACGAATAGCTGAAAATGAAACTCAATTATAAATAGGCGCAGAAAAATCAAATAAAATGCTCATTTAAATAGAATGGTTCTTGTGTTAGCGCCGCCTGCAATTAATTGTAAATATGAGTGGCGCACCCATGGGGAGCATCGGGTTGCCGTTCTTCCCCCCCCCAGGCCGCTATCCAGGCCTGTATTTTTACGTATAAGAAAATGTGGCAACATCAGGGCGTGGCACCCTGACACCTCAATTTTTTGTTTAGATTTTTAGACACAATTCATAACCTATATGTAGGGGCCCCCCAAACATATTCTCTGGATACGTCACTGGTAAATACAAATAAGGGTTTTTCAATATTACAGGGACAAACTTAAACAAGTGATCCCTTAACTCCCAATGTTTCTTTGAGCATTTTTTACTTGAAAAAATTGCCTGATTTAAGTACTTGTTAAAATTTGCTGCTGTGGTAGAGGTACTCAATATTGAAAAGCCAAAATTTTGATACTGGCATATACTCTCCCTTTCTTTAAATATTTACTTACTTCAAGTGGCATGAAAAACGTTTTTTTTTTTTTTTAATTTTCTTTGTTAAAATTCCCTCCAGTAAAAATCTACCAAATAAATGCAAGACTTGCAAGAGTCTTGCTGCAAGACCAAGACCAAGACCAAGACTGGACCCTGCAAGACCAAGACCACTTATTAGACTGCAAGACCAAGACCAAGACCGCATATGCAAGACCAAGACACGCCCGGTCTTGGTCTTGGTCTTGCATTTGCTCATCACTAGTTTTATTTCTTTTTAACACTTGTTATAGGGTTGAGTTCTTATGCTAATTGGTAGACTATTGAATATTTTAGGGCCCAAACAATAGATATGAAATTGACATAAGGTATGCTTGAGGGTTTGTCTGCTGGTGACACCTTTTTGGGCAGCATTTCTCGTGTTCATTCCATGATTAATAGCTTCTCTGTAATTAACCTCACTATTGATTTTAAGTGAAGCTGTCGTATATCAAACAAGCCACTTTCACTAAATACTAGCTCTGTTGGATATCTTCTATTTTTAAATAACATGATTTTAATAATGTATTTTTGTGCTACTCGAAGCTTGTTTAAGATTGTCACCCCTGCACCACCCCAAACAACCAAACTATAGTTCAATACTGACTCGACCAGGGCATAGTATACTGTCCTCAGAGTATCCAGAGTAAGGGTAAGGATGTGTCTTAATTCATAAAACTTAAATATCAATTTTCGTACTTTATTAGTAGCATATGTAATATGCTCTTTCCATGTAAGATTTTCATCTATGTATATTCCTAGGTATTTCAAGTAACCTTTTTTTTCTATCAGTTTTATGCATGAGCATGTTTAGTCCAATATACAGTTGTTTTCATGTGATATCAAATATTGATAGTTTGGTAAATTGCAAGAGGAAAACGAAAAGGCAACAAATTTGGTTTTTTCTACATTTACATGCATTTTGTAGAGTGGTAGGTTTTCAAATGTCTAGCAGATCTCTTTTTATGACGTGTTTTAGGCATTGGATTCTCCTTTCCCTTTTAAATGCTTGTGACTGATATGCCCCCATAGTTATTACAGACCTCTTTTTTACTGTTTCTCATATCTCAACTTCTTCTCCATGTATTCAATATGTCTTGTAGAATCTAATATATATTCCGTTCCACCTTCTTGTGATAGATCCTTGTAGTGTTCTATCCGTTGCCCTGGTTTGATTACCTGGATATTAGCTCTGTCCTTTGCTGGGTTTTTGACATTTGATATAAATCTCCATGCCTCTGAATGAGCATTTTCTTCCTCCTGTGGGTTGTAATTTTTTCACATTTCTCATCCCGACTCTTAGCTATGGTGGTAGAGCATGTTCTCAGTTATCTTTTTGTGTCTTTATAAGCTTCAAGGTCTTTTTGTGTCTTTATAAGCTTCAAGGTCTTGTTCATTTTTGTTGTTAGCCATTCCAGATATATTTGCTTTTCCTAGTTTTCCTCTTGAACTAATAGCTCTATCTCCTCGTTCCACCAGTATTTCTTGTTGGAAATGAAAGCAGACTATAATCCATCCATCTCTTAACCCTCTGCAGTGCGAATTCAGCTTTATTCTTTACTCCCTTCTAGCTGTTGCCCCAAATAATTATTCCAGTCATCTGCAAAACAATATACTACTCCCTGATCATCATCTAATACTGATATTATTCCAGGGTGTCCCAAGGAAAACAGTCCACCCCGATTTATTGGGTTTGGGATGAGAATCTAAGAAAACGCTCGGACATGTCGATGTTTGATTTGAGGGGGAACTATTTTTCAGTTTTTTTCATACCCGTAGCTAGGGGAGAACAACCCCCCAAATTTGAATAGGAGATAGGGGTCTCTTTTTAAAGGTCTCATCAAGTTCTTTATGGCCCTAGAATTTCATCTTATTATTTTCATCCGTAACGAAATGTCAGCTTATCAAAATCTTGGAAATGGACTATGTTTGACATAACTATGACATCAAAACTTCTTTGGATAGATTGCAGGAACACTAGAAACTAATCAAAATTTTTATAAATACTCCGTATGTTCACGTGCATTATCTTAATGTTTTGATCACGATCAAAATGATCAACTTCTGATAAATCATCACACAGTATCACATTATTTACTTTATAGTCGTCTAAGATGTTATTTAGCTCCATTGTTAATATTATAACTTATCATAATTTTTTATCAGGTACTTATTTAGAGTAAGTCATTTTCGGACTTTATTTTGATTGGTGCCTCATTTTCTTTTTTCTTCAGGTATATCACCCCATTGTTACAGAATGCAGCAGCATAATTATTCTCTTTCTTTTTGTCTCTCTTTCTTAAACAGAGCTCTTTTACCTACTGGAAGGTCCTGCTTTATATAAATCTTCCTATCATTTCCCTCCGCAGCCCACATTTATGGACTGTTGTTCCTTTTAAGCCTCAAATTCTCTTGATTATTTCTTTCTTCGTATTTACATTATTGAGTTTAACCAATATTGGGCTATTCTCTTTGTTTCCAAGTCTAGAACTTTCTAACACCTCATTGTTCTCCATTTTCAAGTTTAAAGCCTTTATTATTTTACTTACAATTTTTTGAGTATCTGGGTCACCTTGTTTTGGTACGCCATCAATTATTATGTTTGATGCTCTTTCATTCACCTCCCACTCGTCTATCTTTGTTTCCAAATGTACTACTCTATCCTTCAATGAGGCATTCTCCTTTTTAATAGACTAATTCCTGTAGAATGCCTTCAAACTTTGTTTTTTGTTCTTCGAAAGCATCAGACATACTGGATCGACTCTTCCAAAACTTTGAATTTATTATCCATTTTTTTTTTTAACTGGGCTTAGGGTATTGTTTGCAAGACTCTTTCTTGTACGACCTTTTTTAATTTATTTTCATCCATTTCAATTGCTGA